CTGTTGTGTTCGAGCAGTCCTAACAAATACTTTGGCTTCAAAATGCTTAATGGTGATTATGCACCAGAAGCTTTTAGAGATGTCTGATGGACCTTTAATGCTTTTTGCATCTGTAGTGTTTTTTATTTCTGTATCAGTAAAAAACAAACATTACTCCTTAAAGGCTGTGTTTGGTTTTCTACAAACTGACATCATGGCAAGCCCGTTCTCCTGACTACATTCATAGTCATTTAACTTACTGATGTTCAATTTTAAAGTTGAGATGTCCGCTGAACCAGTCATTGAAGAAGGACTGCTCAATATTACAGGTGGTTTGTAACTAAAGTAGAAAATCAGACAGAAGAGTGCAGATGAGTTGATACACCAGCAGCGCCCACAGGCAACTGTGGATTGCACGATAAACCAGGTACCTGCATGGTTAACCAGTCCTGGTGCTTCTCATAGTCGATTTCCATCGGCAGATGATTCATCTGAGTTACCCACACAAACCAGTGACTCTCCAGAAACCTGTAATATTCACAACAAAACAAGACCAGTCACCGAGTCATGTGTCACAATATGTGATCAAGGAGCTGTCTGAAACTGTGCTATCACTTCACTACATTCTTTATGAAGGGTTTGCGTACTGACATTAATAAGTGATTTAATAAAGATTTATCAGCATTGGGTCAGCAATAATGCATTTCAAAGTACAGCTTTTATTTTACAGGTCCTGAATAATGCTGAATAATGCCTTTCACTATCCTCCAGCACAGCTCGTTCGTCTTTTAATTCTACTCACTACATTTTAGTGACAATGAAAGAACCACAAACTCAATACATACACATTTTGATAGATTTGTAAAGAGCATGTGCTGCAACATATTTTTCAAATAGGAGGTGTCTGTGTGGTTTGTTGACATTGTAACATTGTGGTAGCTGTGTATGAGTATTGAGGTGTATGTAAAGAAATGACAAACATGTTAGATTTTCATATTGCCCAGAATGAAGCCTATCCAATTTTGATTGTTATTTAGAACTACAATCCTGAACTTGCGTTTTTGAGACAGGTATCTCACGCAACCAATAACACTGCCTCCATGTCCGGCATATCACTCAGGAATAGCTGTGACCTGATGCCTATTTTTAGCTTCAGGTCTATTATTTCTTAGTTACACGCAAAATACCGCTCCACAGAATCTACCAAAACAATGAAAGCTCACTAGTTCCAACCGAACTCCACAAAAATAGAGAAGTACATCAAGTGAAAACAGCTAAAACACATCAGTCCCATTGAACATGAAGTTCTTTTTAAAGTGTGTGTAGTTTTTATTTTCTGCATTTTACCGTGGGTTGATATTACAATTCCCTCATTGTCTGTAGCTCTGAGAGTGTGTTGTCCAGCCCCCAGTTATTCGTTCATTCATATCAGTAATTTAAGATAATAAACGTAATAATTTGGAATCTGGGCCTAATCCAGTATTTGGACCAAGAAGCTCCTGAAAAAAACAGTGTTACAGATATTTCATGAACATTTTCTCTAAGTAAAAATAAGTACTGGAGTGGAACAGGTACCGGCAGATACTTTCAGGGCCAAAAAAAAACCCTACATCGAGACATCCCTAATAAAAACAAGTTAATATTTCTTCGGGGGTTTTACCTGAAAAAGGCCATGAGTGCCAATGCGCCAAGCAGACCATACAGGGGTACATAACACCAGAAGTAGCGAAGATAGAATGTCAAGGCCCAAGCCATATCCTTCACAAGACAAGCAGGTTAATATAATATCATTTATTAATTAGCAAGCATTCCTAATTCGTCTGTATGTTCATATAAGTCATACTATTTCCTTTGTGGTGTTTTTTTTAACATAGATGATAAGATTAAAAACTATTTGCCTGCATTAAATCCTCATGTCAAGTAGAAAAATACATACAAACTGCACTGTATGATGCACAAGACAGAATCTTACCACCCAGTCACGGCGGGTGATCATGGTGTGCATTATATGATAGTTGTAAAAAACTGGAATGAGCAGCGGTGGCGCCACTAAAAGAGAAACACATAAAACTTTCTCCTGTAAAGTATTCATGGGTTCATTCATTTAAATGACTCTTAAAAAACATACCAAGAAAGAAGTACTGGTGTTGGCGATTATAGGGAAAACGTTTGATCTTTTTAATGCCATACTGTAACAAAGAGGAGTACAGAGTTAGAGCGGGCAGCCAGGTTACACTGGATGCTAAAGGATCTCTGCTTTGTGATACTTGCCTCTACCGGTTGAGTGGTTCCAAGTACAAACATGTCCAACAGGCTGATATCAGGGTCCTTACGGAAGATGTTGGGTTTAGCATGATGCTGGAAATGTCGTTGATTCCACCAGTTGGCAGAAGCGCCCTAAGAATACAGTCTTTTAATATTTATGGAAACATTTCAATAAACAAATATATATGACTTACAAGACCGGTCACCTTTAAACTACCAATGACAAACTTCTGCACCAAGTGATTCCAGCGGGATGTCTTACAGACAGACAGGTGGCCAAAGTCGTGTTGGAGCCACCCGGCCTGTGACTAGAGAAGAAAAAGAGGAACGAGCATTTCGAGATTTGTCTGCTGCAGAACCTCACTTCATGATTCAAGCCTCATCGGGAACACTTTGACCAAGTCACCTGAGCAGTTGCCAGCAGGACTGCACATAAAAATGTCAGGCTCCAGCTTGTTCCCCAGTGCAAGACCACCAGCCAGGCAAGCGCCTCCAGCAGCAAGATGTGACCCACATGGAGGCAGAAGAGCAGAGGCTGAGATCGAAACAGACCGTCTTTCTCTGCCTGAACACGTAAAGCAGCAAATTCCTGTACGATCGCAGCCTGAGAGCGAGGAAAAGAAAGAGAAGATCCTGTAAAGCTCCAAGGGTGAAGCAAGATTGGCCAGTTTTCCGGTCTGACCCTCCCCATTTCCTCAGGCATTACAGTACGCGTGGGACTATAGAATAATGTGAGGTTGTATATGAATATTTACATAGATCTCACTTTTTTTCCCCCATCATGGCTGGGCTCTGTTGATGCCAGCTCTCCAATCTGCAGAGGCTTCAGAAACCTTTGCACAAACTTTGGATCAGGGTGAAAAGCAGAAAACGGCTCCTGGCAAACAGAAAGGAGAAAAAGTTATGTACATGTCATGTACATTTATCGGTGGTGGAAGAAGTACTCAGATAATTTACTTAAATAAAAGTACAAATAGAACAATGTAAAAAGGACTACGTTCAAAATGATCTGTGAATGTAGTTTTTCTAAGCTTGTTCTTATACACATGCATCAGTGTAAAGCAGCACTTTAATAATACTGTCTTTTGCTTGAATGGAGTAGTTTTCAAACGAGTGATAAGTGACACGAGTAACGGGGTGGGAAAGGAAAAGCAAAAGCTCTGCAACAAAAACGTGTTTTTTATTTTATTTTGTTTTATGTTGGTTATGTAAATCTGAAAATTAATTATAGCTTCATATAAATACACTATAGTTAAGTACAAAGTACAATATTTCCCTGTTGGTGGAGTAGAAGTGTAAAGATGTATCAAATGGAAATACTCAACTAAAGTACTTGAAATTTGTTTTTAAGTAAGTTTTGGGGTTTGTTGTCCACCAAAGGACTGGAACCCCAACGACTAGGTCATTAGGGGACACTGTTGGCCCTGGAAGGACTGAAACACCACCCAGGGGGATAAATACCTCCTGCTCACTACCAGTCAGAACTGATGAAGCCTCTTGGATGAGAGGTGAAACATCTTCTACGTAAAACTACATCCAGATGCCTTCTTCTAAGTTTTTTCAGCATACTACGACCTGGATGACTGAGAATTTGCATGGACACAACCACAAAAGCCTCTTACATTCTCAGGAAAATATGTTAATTTTATTATATGTATTGTAAAATGGCCTAGATAGAAAAAAAACACATTTACTGTGGCATCCTCTCCAGCATAGTGGCTGATAACCCGAAACCCTCCTGGATGCCTTTTGGCCCACTGAGTGATATTGTACACCTTTCTGTCGATGACCAGCCACTGATCATTTCC